TTCCCTCTCAGGTTCGGACTTGGCTGGGTCTCGTGTGGGACTCTCGGACCGCCTCCTTGTCTCTCCCTCCGGAGTCTCTCCTGCGGCTGCGGTCCCGCCTTCGTCTGTTTCTGGAGGGCCCTCGGGTCACCCGGTGGTTGCTCGAGGGGCTGTGCGGGAGCCTGAACTTCGCGATGGTGGTCTACCCGCCGGGTCGGGTTTGGCTTCGACGGCTGTTCTGGTTCCTTCGGGGTTCCCCCTTCCGCTTCTCTCTCGATCGCTGGGTTCGACCCCCGGGGGCCTTGCGTCGGTTGCTGCGTCACCGGCTTCCTCTTCGGGTTTTTCGGGGTTCAGTGCCTTGGCGCCTACCCGAGCCCTCGCTCGATGTGTACACGGATGCGTCGTCTCTCGGCTGGGGCTTTGTGACCAGTGCTCACCAGGCCGGCCAGGGGCGGTGGGGTCCGTCCTTCCGTCGAGCTCACAGCACGGTGCGGGAGTTCGCGGCAGTGTGGTTTGCGCTGGGGAGGGTTTGGGTCGCTCGCAGATCAGTGATCCGGCTTCATTCGGACTGCTCCCTGGTAGTTCATTGCCTGAACCACGGGGGTTCGATGCGGTCCTTGGCTCTTTGGTGCTGGTCGCTTGGGGTGACTTGTCTGCTGAGTTCTCAGGGTTTGGCTCTCCTGGCCGTTCACGTTTGGGGGGTGTCCAACGTTTTGGCGGGCGGCCTGTCTCGGTTCATTCCCCTGTCCACGGAATGGACAGTCGACGCCGACTCGTTCAGTTGGCTCTGCAGGACGTATGGGCTCCCGGAGGTGGACCTCTTTGTGTCAGCGTGGTCGAGGTGTCTTCCCATTATATGTGGTGCCCTTCCCCGACTGCGAGGCCATTGGGGTCGATGCCTTCAGGCAGGACTGGTCGAGGTGGAGTTACCTGTACCTCTTTCCCCCGGTTCTGCTGTTGCTCCAGGTCCTAGCTCGCTTGGAGACTTACCAGGGAAGAGTAGTCCGTTGGCCCCTTGGTGTTCTTATCCCTTTGTAGGTTTACTTCTGTCTTTGTTAAGGTTGTCTTGTCCTTCCTTTCGTGGTTGTTCCAAGACTGTCATCTCATACTGAATACTGTCGCCTTGAATTGTACAGCGCTGGCAGAGCCTCTGCAGCTTGCGTTCAGCATTGGTATTACGTCTGCACCATTCTGCAAGCTGTTTCATGCGTTGTTTCACCTTCGGCCTGCTCATGCACAGCCTGAGCCGTCCTGGTCGTTGGACCGTGTGCTCTCATTTCTCTCTTCTCCAGGGTTTGTGGTGGCCCCTTCAGTTCATGATTGTTTGGTGAAGGCTCTTTTCTTGTTGGCATTGGCCTCTTAGGGTCAGGTTGGGGAACTTCATGCTCTTCTCTGGCTCAGGGGTTTCTGCTCTTTTGGTCCTAGTGGTAGGTTTGTTCATTTGCAGCTGTCTCCTTCTTTTCTAGCAAAGAATGAGACTGCTGCTTTCTGGAGGGGTCCTTGGGTTGCTGATGCTTGGTTGGTTAGGCCAGGGATGCATCATGTGTTGTGTCCGGTTGTGGCTCTCTGCCGTTACAGCCTCGGAAGCCAGGGACGCGCTTTGGGTTGACCCGGTTTCCCTTTTTCCCTGTTCCAGGGCTCGGGTCTCCCAGGTCATCTTCAGGGTAATTCGATCCAGCCAGTCTGCGGTCTATCCTTGTGCCCATGACATTCATATGTTTGCTGTGCTTGCTGCCGTCTTCGGTAACATGTCTTGGGTTGACATTCGGGCATTGGGTTTTTGGAGGTCGAACAAGGTCCTGGCCGCTCGCTACCTTGTCAATGTTCCTGGGCCTCATCGGGCCTGTGTTGCTTTGGGTCGGTGTTTGCAGCCAGTTGTCTCGACTTCGCATTGAGGAGCGAGAGTCGACCACCTCCCGGGTAAGTCCCTCTTGTTTTGTCTTTGGGTAAGTAGCTCCAGGGAGACGATGGGGCTCCCTCAAAAAAACAGCAATGAATATAATGAAACACCATTTTCTGGGTAAGACCCGGAGGCTCCCTGGCAACCCTCCCTTCCTCCGGTCGGCAAAAAAATGCCGACCGGAGGGAGGATATGTTTTCCAACCGGATATGTTTTCATATCCAGCCTCAGAACTGGAGGTTTGGATAACCGGCACAGGAGTTTGGGGATGCCCCTTCCCCCTCCCAGGGAGGGGGGGAGGGTTTTGCAGACAACAGCATGGTGACATGGTGATGTCATGCTCATTTGCTTATTTTCCATTTGGGGAGTTCTGTCCACTAAGTTGGCTTTCAGTGGCAATATTTTAATTGCCACTGAATTGGAATAGGGGTTTGTTTTGGCGTGCTTACCTTTCTGGGTGCCTGACCCAGTCGATGGCAGACATAGAATGCCTCCAGCTACACAAGGGTTTCTATAAGCCATTGCTCCTCGTGCCTCTGAGGGGGGCCAGGTTCTGGCTCGTAGTTCCCGGTAGGCTTTGAACTCTATGTGCATTGACTAATGACAAGTCTCCAATAACTTGAGCATACTATCGAGGCATATGGAGAGAATATAAGGCATCGCAAAAATCAGATTACCACTTATGCAGGTAGACATTAATTGCTTTTTTTTGTGTTCACTGAAACCTAAACATATAATACAGTACACAGTTGTTAAATATAGTTTTTTCTATGTAAATACTATTGTGGTGCAAATCAAATATTTGATAACAACCTGAAACTTTACAGTTTCATCTAAAATGAGAGCTGTATTGAGGAACAAAAATGAAGCTTGAGAAAGAAAAACTACGAGAATCTCATAAAAATCTACAATCAGAACCATACCACCGGATTTGTCTGAAGCAGTGTTTTTTAACTGGCATCCTTCCATGGCACAATTTATTGCTTCATCTAAAACACAAGGTGGTATTTACACAAGATCTAATGATTCATTAGTTTTCTCAGCATTTTCAAATATTATAATATATTATTTGTATTAATATTACTTTTATATATGGAAAGACTGCAATACCATTAAATTGAGTTTGTTTTCTAAAGGTAAATTTTATAGATACAATTTTTAATGATGTTTAATTCACAAATGATTCCATTATTATAATTTGTCAATCACATACTGTATTTTCATTTTGCATTATAGTGTCCCTGACTGAAAAAAAGAAGTGCAGTGGAAAAGTTTGAGCTCCAGAAGAGATGTAGAGAGGAGGAATCACTAACCATTCAAGAAATGATAACATGGTTACAGTACTACAAAAAGAAAAGGGACAAACTATCCGAGTATATATTCAAGAATTACAATGTGATTCTTTCCCTTCATGTCTCTGCAAGGTAAGAAATTCAAAATACTTTTTGCAATTTAGATCTTCAAACACTCAACTCACTTAAATGTGTTCAATTAGTCAGAGTAATATTGCCATCACCTTTCACATTTAAACTATGAAACACTTCCATTTTCAAGAGTGGTACTGTGGAGAATATGGCTTTTATTATTATTTGTATCCTTTTTGTTTTACTTAATCTATACTTTTATATATATTGCATTATGTACAACTAAATAGGTACAGTATATATTTGACTCTTAAGATTTTTTAAATATTATATTCCAGGATTCTAACACGTACACCATTGAAAACTCAATTCTGTCAGAAGAAGAGAAACGTGGATTATTGGCTATTCTCAAGCAGGGTCAAAAGCAATGTGCTGACAAGCTTACTGAAGCCAAACATTTATTTAGTTCCTACCAGCCAAATGAGGTCTATGAGCCTTTCTTGGAGCTCTTAGAAAGTGATGAAGATGAAGACATGTATTTACAAAATGAATAGATACAAATGAACAAATCCACAAGGGCCATGATGAGGGTTCGAACCTATGTCCGACAGGATCCCACACGAGCCTTAATGGACTGTGTTACGACATGGCAAAAGATCGTAGATTTAAGGCATCACGCTATTGTGATTTCTGTGTTTAACAAATAGATACAAGATAGGCTTTTAAATTTTTAAATTTTTACTTACTTATTTTTTGTCCTGTTTTGCTTGGTTACATGAATTGACCACACAAATTATGTTGCTTAGTTACAGAGATTCTTATAACTACGTGAATTTTGTTCATTTATAAGCCCATATGTGCCTCTAAAAATTTCCACTGCCACTCACAGGATGGGTATGTTGTGCATAATAAATAAACTAAACTAATATTTTATATGCATATACTTTTGTCTTTTAATACAATAAAACTGGATTATATTAAAATATTTTCCTCATGCTGTGTTTTTCTCAACCCTCTGAAACTATCACTGGAAAAAAAAAGTGGTAGCCAAGAGGAGGATTCGAACCCCTCACTTGGTACTCTCAAGCTAGCACTGTAGACCACCATGCAACTACTTTGTGAAAATTAATGCCACCTGGGATACCACTGAATCCTCTGATTAAATCCAATTCTCAATGATGCATCACATCAATATGATTTCATAATACAAAGGCATGCATACTCTCAATATAAAATACCTTAAACACTCAAGTGAGTGTTGTGTATTGATGTGTGATTTAAAAGTTGAGTAGGTATGAAGGACAAGTACTGGGCTTTATTGTTTGGGATGGTAAAAAATCAAGTCAAAATGTTTATTCAGGTAAATGTACATACATAGATGAGTTACAAACATAATGTTGGATTTATAGATAGAGCTAGTGCATACAATACCTAAACCCATTAATGTGCACAGCGTTTCGGGCAAGGTTTGGGTGTCACATTTCATGATTGCTTGAGAGGGAAGGAAAGAGAGAGAAAATGGGGAGATGGAGGCAACGGGGTATTTGAGGCTGAAATACGCAGAATAGAAAGCTTTCAATAGAAATAGCAGCAGTAAAAATTCGTCCTGAAGTGTCATAAAGGACAGGGGTCGTAAGAAGACTTTGAAAAGACTGCCTACGGATATCATCAGGACTTCCAACCATTCGCCGAGCTGGAGGACGAATGAACGTCGTCATTCCTTCATTTTCTAGTGTGTGGATTGGTCAACATAAGGGAGGAATCCTGATTATATGTGGCATATTTAGTCGAGCATACAGACGTATGTAGGTGAAACCTTGCTGAACAATGGTGTGAGTTGAGCGCACTGAGAGTCGGTACAGTATCTCGCAAGTGTGTTCTAGACCACACTTGAAAGTAGACTAGTTAATATTTGCTATTCTGCTGCTTATATGCTCTTGGCAACAAAGTAAGGTGTAGTAGAGGGGATAGTAGTAATAATAAGAACTGCAGAGGGCCTATTGGCCCATACGAGGCAGCTCCTATTATAACCACCGAATGAGAAGGAGAATAGAGATAGTAATAGAGATATAGATAGTAATAGAGTAATAGAGATACCGAATAGAGATAGTAATAAGAATAAGAAGAGGATAGCAAGGGAGCGTAGGAGCAGACAATGAACAGAAAAAGGGAGAAGAGAGAAAGTTATGTTCTGGTCGTGTGGATACACTCATGGTGAGTAGAGTAAATAGTTCCGTGATTTGGGTGTTCATGGTAGGTTGTTCTATTCTTATGTGAATTGCTTCAAGAATTCTGGGGATACTGCTTCACAGTCTTTATGAGGGGTGTCCAGCTGCTGGACACCTTTGTTGACCAGGAGAGTGGCTGTGTTGATGGCTTCAGGGTGGCCACTGCATGATTCAGGAACTCTTAAAGCTCTTCTAAGGTCATTGGTTGCTTCACATTCCAGAAGATAGTGAAGTAATGGCTTTTCTGTGACAGTTTGACAGAAGATGCACTCTCTCTGTCGGGGTTCACCAATCTCCCAGTGCATCTGTAACCTAGACGTAGTCTATATAGCCTAACTGCTATTTCCCTGTGGATTCCTTTTGGGATATTTAACCTTTCTAATTTGGTTGCCTGAAGATACCATGTTGCAGATGGCGAACCTTCAGCTATTCTTTGGTGCAGGTAGGCTTTGTTGAGATGTGAGAGTTTTTTGGTGATGATGTTTTTTATGTTCTCTAGGCTGGGTTGAATTGTTTTATGTATCACTGGATGACGAGTTGCCAATTTAGCAATTTCATCAGCTTTTTCATTTAATGGGATTCCAATATGGGATGGGATCCAGTTTAAAGTTATGTTGAGTCCTTTGCCTTTAGCGACTGCTCCAAGATACAAAATGGTTGTAATTATTTCCACATTATCTCTCCACTGTTTTTGTCCTAGTATTTGAAGTGCAGCATTTGAGTCTGTGTGTATGATTGCATTTTGAGTGTTTTGTGCAATCACATATGCGAATGCCTGTTGTATGGCAAACAGCTCAGTTGGGTTGATGATACTAGTGATATAAATGATATAAATTCATTAGCTAACCTCTTCCTCTCCAAAACTCTAAGCCTCTACAACCTTCATTGTCCCCTTCTTACCAAGCAAGTAACTGACAAAAGATTAAACAATCCATGGCTCACAAGTGGCATTCTCAACTCAATCAACAAGAAACATGAAATATGAAAAGAAAGTTAGGATTGGCCTAGTTTCAAAGGAAGTAGCTAAAAGGTACTCATCAATGCTTACCAGTATCATAAGAAAGGCAAAACTTGCATATTATGTGAATAAATTCAATGAAGCAAAAGGCAAACATGAAAAGTGTGATAGATTTGTGAGTGCAGGTGCGGTATAATCGATCACTGATCTGACTGCCTGTACATAGTATGTGCGAAGGACTTGCAGATTGGCTCTTCCAGAAAGGGAGGTTAGCGACCTGAGGATTGCCGTCCAGGCCGCAGTTCGCTCTCTCAGCATTAAAATTCAAGTATGTGTCCAGGATGATTCCTAGATACTGATAGGTGTCGACCCATTCTATTGGTTGACCCTGTACTGTGAGTTGGATGTTGGGCTTCGCTATTTTTATGGGCATGGCCTTTGACTTTGAGGGGTTTGAGTTTGATCCCAATGTAAGCGTTGTATACATGTACACTTGCCCCCACGAAGGATGTAACCTTCAATGTAAGTACATAGGTATGACGTCGACCAAGCTGACGAGGCGTTTGACATGCCATCTTCAATCCGGTGCCCCCAGGAATCACATGAGACAAGCCCATGACATTACTCTAACAAGAGAAATGTTGAACAAGAATACCTGCATAATAGACAAAACCCAAGATGCAAGAAGATTACAAATTCTTGAGGCAATTCACATTAGAGCGACCTACCATGAACACCCAAATCACGGAACAATTTACTCTACCCACCATGAGAGTAAGGACAAGACATAATAATAGGCCAATTACACTGGATTAATCTTTGTGTTTAGATAGGAGCTGCCTCGTATGGGCCAATAAGCCTTCTGCAGTTACCTCTATGTTTCACCTCACATTTATCCCTTAGGTATCCCCCCATGTATTCACCTTTATTGTATTATCACCTGACCCAGTGCAGGTATAAAATCAACTAGTATTGTAAGATCTGTTCACTTGAGAATGAACCATGGATCGAGGTTCGAAACTTTGTGCAAATTATATAAATAAGTGTAATACACTCTATATATATATATATCTATATAGATATATATATATATATATTATATATTATATATATA